ATAACATCTAGCCTACACCTTTGTTGCAAACTAATTACATAGATTAAAGAGGATTTAAAGTATTTAATTCATAAGTATATAATTAATATATATAGTCTTTCCTTACCTTGTTATCTCGAAACTCCCCTTATCATCCCATTTTTTCCTCTCAACTTTCTAACTCAGAGTTTCCATTATTGGTTTCACTCCTCCAACATCCCCTCTGCTCACGAGATCGCTCAACCAATGAAAACAGAGTTACAAGGGAGTTTAATTAGAGATTTAAGGGAGTTTATTTGACCTTGAGTGAGGTCAGTTGGGGTGTGTCGTGCGTTGGGAGGTGTTCGATTAAAGACAATTAGAGATGGGCCAAAGTGTGAGTGGCTTGGCTACTATGTGTGTGGGCAAGCTGTGCAAGTGCTTATGGTGCTACAACAAATATTTAGGGGGCGTTTATGATGTTCAATCATTGCACTAGCCTAGGTTGTACAAAGGTGTATGCAATTAGGGTGCTATTCTCATGATCTTATTATAATGATGAGCTGGAGAGTGGACATATATGCAGTGAGCATGCATAGAGCTAGGGTTGGATGCAAAGTTAGAGTAGGTTGCATGTTCTACGATGAACTGAGTGATATGAATCTAGTGGATCGTTCAATAGGTGGAATTGGAACAAAAACAAATGAGGATTATTCAACTCAAATGGAATTTAGTGGAGCAGGTGACAAGAGACGTGAAGAGTTGCTAGTAGCGGAGAGTAGAAGAAGAGTCAACGTCTTGGAAAGTGAACTAAGATAACTCAAAATTTTATTCAACATTTAGCATGTAAACCAAGCCCTTTGAGTCCTTATTTATAGTGAAAGGAATTTTTAGAGTTGTTAGCAATTAAAGTAATGAAAAATTTGGCTGAAATTAATCTTAATTAAAACAAGGTAGGAAATCAATCTAATAAAACAAAACTCAATTTTTGTCTTAAAAAATTATAATTAATTAATGGAATATTTAATTGATACAGTCGTTGTGTCAAACGTAAGTTTGGATTGGATGGACGTCTAGATAAAGCGCAATCTGGAGATTTCACTCTATAATAAGAACTTCAACTTCATATTTTAAGTTTTTCATCAATGTAAACACTTACGTTTGATTATTCTTCTTGAATGCAAGAGAATTTTTTATATAAGGATTGCTTGTTTATAAGTATTTGTAATTTTGAAATATTTTAAAAACAATGAGTAAAATATTAGTTTTAATATTTTGTTGGTTTTTGATTGTTTGCAAAATATTTTTGATTGTTTGCAAAATGCGAAATGATTATATCCGCGATATGGTTGGTGTAGCCCTAGTGACAGACAAAATTAGAGAAAGTCATCTTAGATGGTTTGGTCACATTAAATGTCGACCATCTGATGATCCGATTAGGAGAGTAGATGTTTTAGATTCGATTTATGTTAAGAAAGACAGATGTAGACTTAGGAAGACTTGGACTTCTTGTATAAAAAAATGATCTTAATTTTTTAGAACTAAATGAAAATATGACACTAAATATGGCGCAATGGAGAAAAATGATTCATGTAGCCGACTCCACGTAGTGGGATTAAGGCTTTGTTGTTGTTGTTGTTTGCAAAGTATTTCAAATACTTAAGATGGCTTGTTGTGTGTAACTAGTGGCGGTAGTGGAGGCAAGCATCGATGGTAGCGGAGGATGGCAAGTCGTGGTCGATGATGGCGGTGAAGATGACAAGCAAAAAGAGGTGGCACAGAGGGGGTTAGGGGAGAGGTTGCTTCATACAAGCATTATTTTTGCAATTTGCCTATATAATTCCAATTCCAAATGTTTTAAAAATGAACCAATGTAGTTCCGTGAATTTTAAATACCTTAAAAATGAACTAGAGGGATTTTCAAATATATTGAAATTTTATACATCATTTAATTTTCTTTTTGTCAAACACCAAAATTTTAGAAGCTATGCATTCTATTTGTAATATATTATAAATACTTGCAACCACAACCTTTTAGGCTAAGTTGTAAGCTATGAGATTTTTTGCTTTAATGAAAAAACATTGAATCAATATAGAAAGACGCATCATTATCGTCTCAAAGTGGATCATAGTTATTTGACTATAGGATCCCTGTCAATGCTATCAGTTGCACTGTACATAGGAATCTAGTGAAATTTGGGAGTTTGGGTCGAACTTATTGAAAGAGCTAATTTCAACGCAAATTTAACTGATAGAGGTCTTCATATCCCATCGAGCATGTCAAATGGCTTATAACTAATAGACTTAGCTGCCAGGGATTATAGGGTCAAGTTGAAAAGCTTGTCAAAGTGGCCAGTTTCTAGGCCAACAATAGCTAATAGTGAGCTTCATAGCCCATTGAGTGTCATATGGCTTAAAGCTTCTAAAATTTAGCTAATGGGGATTATTTTGGTTTGGTCTTTCATTCAATTGATGTAGCTTAGGCAAACATTTAGGCTTTGTTTGCCCAACTTGAAGGAATATTATCATGCTCTCACTGGCATTATATATTGTAGTTTGATCATATGAGAAGCAAGATATGACATCGATTCTTTGTAAATATTGGTCAAATTTCAATGAAAATTTTGGCAAATTGATGCATAGTGCAAAATCATACACACTATAGCTCAGAGTAGTGTATTGTATTTTCTGCACTAGTTATATATCAGGCAAAATAAAGCATAATAGTGTGTAATATAGCAAATTTAGTGCTCACTATTTTATTTTATTTTTCTAATTTATTTCAAATTTTTTATTTTGATTTACTCTAAATTTATCATCCTTTTTTTTAAATATTTTTTTAAAAAAAATATTAGTTCTGCATAAGCATTTATGAGTCATGTCCTGCTCATGCTCCTTAAAGGATACAATTTTGATCCCGTAAGGTTTACAGGAGTTTTCTAGACACTACCTTTGAGATATTTTGACTTATCTCTTCATCTATTAAGTAATTATTTTTAAATCATCTGTCATGCTATTTTCATCTTTTTTTCTTTTTTTTTTTCATGTTCTTTATATTTTTTTATTTAATTTTTTGTTTTGTTTAGTCTAAATTATCTGATTGCTAGCAAAATTATGTTATATTAATGTTTTCAATTTGTTTAACTCTGATTTATATAATTAGCAATATAATGCTATATTTATGTTTTGTGTTTATTTTACTTTGCTTATATTGCTTGATTAGTAGAACTATTATTTTTGTAATAAACCCCGTAGGAAATTTTATTGCTCACAAACAAGAATTACAAAATTTGGTCGACAGTTCTACTAAACAACCCAAAAACTAATATAAACCACTCAAGAAAACAAAAAATACTTAAGAACCGTCGACCAATTACAACTCACATAAATCATAAGAAACCCTGATTCACTCTAACATAAGGAGTATCTAAACAATCACGACAAAGCAGCCGAGACATCTCAATAGGCACAATATTACTAACCACAATCAACTGAGAAGAAGAGCCCTTTCTTCCTGCCCAATTAGCAACCTTGTTACCTTCTCTAGGAGTGTAGGACCAAGAAATCTGCAAATAAGCTTGCAAAGCAAAGATTTTTTTCATCTGTATAATAAGATTCCAAGTATAATCCAATTGCAAACTACAAAATTTCCACATCTGCAAAGAATTTTAGTAGAATTATTACCTTAATGCAAGCCCCATTGCTGCTTTTATTAGCTGTAGAAAATGAAAAGAAAAAAGGTTCCAACTTTGGTCGAGCTTTCTAAAATGATTCGACATGGAAATCCTATGCCTATCATCAACCTTCACATCTGTTATAGTGCTGTAATATTCTTATTTATATGGCATATGTGGGTCTCTTGTAGTAACCTTGCAACCAATAGGAAGCTAAAGCTGTTTAATGAGCATAATTATGAAATCATCACTTTGCTTTTTAGATCTATTCTTCAAGCTAGTCAATAGTATCTCATTCAGTAGGGTTTTGCTGATGATCTTTTCCATTGACCATACAAGCATTCATATCCATTCAAGGGATATCATTAGCAACATGTTTTGATTGCTCCATTCTTAGATTATTCACATGGTAAAATATCAACGGTAAGATTCGTGAGAAATAAGTTACTTTCATACCAAGTGTAGGGCATATGTAATATGACTGCTTGCCTGTTTGAGATATGCAATAAACAGCATAAAATATGCTAGTTTCTTGAAGATTCTTTCTTTTTACTGCAATTGCCCAATGTCCATGGACTAGATGAATGGAATTCCTTAATCTGATCTATCCAGATTATTACAATTTAACAACTTCCCTCTCTTCCTCTCTACATAAATGGTCATATCACCAGTTCCATGAGTAATAAAGCCTCATAGTCATTCTTCATAACTTCTTCACGTTAGGTTTCATCTTTACTGGCACTGGCCACTTTTTGTATCTTGACTTTATTACTAGTAGCCTCCATCAACTCCTAAATTTTCTCAATGTCGGCCTCAATTTATTCAATGTTTTCAGGACATAATGAACTTCCATGATGGATTTTCTTATTTTTACTACAATGCTTCGATAGTAATCATGATGCTAATATGTAAATTGGGGTGTGTGTTTCATGTTTACTTGTGGCAGTGGATTTTTAGAACCTAAATGGGGGTGTGATCTAATGGCTGGCTGTGAGTTGATTGTAGCATGTGAAATTAGGGAAGTGTAATTTGCATTAATAGGACATACTTGCCCTGTCAGTTCCTTCATACCACATTCAGTTTATCCATTGAACTTGTCCACTTTTTTTGTCCGTGGATATATGATTATGTTGCCCCAATCTTTTGATTGTTGCGAGGGCATGACATACATGAGTGTTCCTTTCCTTTTTCTGGAAATTGGAAATCTAAGGCACTGATAATATAGTAAAATGAAATTGGAAGACGATGGCAATGTGCAGAATCCTTGTAAATAACATTTTATCTCTGTGGCCCTTCTATGCACTGTGTTTTCCTTTGTAGATATGTTTATTTTGTCATTCATATAATATTCATATGCCATTGTTACAGGTAAAAGTATGTGATATCTGTGGGGATGCAGGTCTGGAGGATTCCCTAGCTATCTGTAGCAGATGTTTAGATGGTGCAGAGCATATGTAAGCATTTATGAATCATGTGATATTTTATGCTGATCAAATTGCACATAACATGGTTGCCTATACTATGCACTGTTTTTCTTTAAGCAGCTACTGCATGGAAACAATGTTGGATGAACTTCCTAAAGGTGATTGGCTATGTGAAGAGTGCAAGCTCAAGGAATATGAAAATCAAATGGTCCATAAATTTGAGGTAGTAACCAAAACACATGAGCAACCATACTTTGATGAAGGTGCTCGGCATGACAGTAGTACCATATATTCTAAGTCACCACCTAAAAATGAGGGAAGTGCAATAAAAGATGGTATGTTAGACTGTAGAACACTCCAAATTTCAGTGATTCCTTTTATGTGGCACGCTGAAAATGTGAGCCTTACAGCAGGTACATACGAGAAGGCCCTTGAAAGAAGTCCAGTCTATGCAGAAACTTCAGTTGCTCGGGATGTATCATTGTTGTGTCCCAAGGATTCATTAGCAAACCCAGATGCTGCAACGATAGCACAATCCAATCCAGAAAAATCAGGTGGAAGTTGGTCAACCATTTTCTCAACTAGTACAGTTGGTTTTAAAGCAATAATCAATAGGTCTATAACTTGGAATGCTTTGAATTTAATTTTGGTATAATTTATTTTCTTCAAAGCAGTTTCAATAAACACTTTTCTTCTTTTCTGTAGGACCACAATTAAAACCTAGTTCCATTAGGAATACAATTACAAAGCCAAAAGTGAAACAACTACTTGGAGCTGTCCCATTGGCCTTGAATGCAACTGGAAAATTTCATTCCAAAAACACAAGGGAAGGTGGACTGACTAGAGGAATGGCTAAATCCACCTCATTTAAAACTGAGAAGGGGGTTTGCAATGATTTTGAATTATTAAACGAAAAACAGACAGTCAAGCTAACACATATTAAAAATTCAAGTGTGGAAAAAAACAAAGAATTAGGTGTTATAGAAAGAGATAACTCTTTCAGTGATAGAGGATTGATTGATGGGGATTGTTCAGGTGAGAAATTTCTTTATTTGATGGCACCCAATACACTTGTCATGATGTAAGTTTTTTATGCTTTTCTATTATGGCTGGCTTCAGGATATAACAGGGAAATTCAATTACATTCATCAAGAAGTTCTGTAAGTGCATGTCCAAATGGATTGAATCTACTGTTTCAAAAGCAAGGGCAGATTCCAAAGGAAGGTTTTCATCTGTATGTAAATGCTGCTACTCATTCTGGTAAGCCTGATACAGTTTCTCAACGCAACAACCATCTGAGGATGGAATCGGCACATCAAGATGACATGTCCAAGATTGCTGCATTTTCCACCACCTCAAATAAGCCAATATCTGGTGGCAGTCAAATATTACAATGTCAAAAATGTAATGAAACCGGTCACCCTACGAACTTATGCTCAAATGACGAACGTGTTGTCACCGCCATTAAGCTCTCATCTGATCCAATGCCATGGGAGAACGCTAATAGAAGTAACAAGGGGAAAGCTGCAAGAGACACAATTATGCCAAAACAAGAAGCATTAAAGTTTACTGACACAACAAATCAGTCTAAGAAACCTAGTATTTGTCATAGTGCTGAAGTTATTAACAAAAATTTTCCGTCGCCCTGCTCTAGGAGAACTTATTCTCAGGAAGGAAAAGCCAATGCCACACAAAGCTTTGTCTTTGCCGATAGTGAATCCACAGAACATCAGCGCGTTGCAAACCAAAATGAAATCCACCATGAAGTTGGGGCAGGTAGATTGAATTCATTTGGTAACATTTCCGAGGAGTTCAACGTGAAACTTTCTGAACCGATTTTACCCACTATAGACTCTTCTCTTTCAAATATGCTGAGAACTTCTGTAATTCCAGAGCATGAATTCTTTTGGCAGTATGTTTTGTCCCTTGCAATTTTCATTGTTCTAATTTTGAAAGGAAAAGATACTTTTATATGCTTTTGATTAAAAAAATCATCAGGATTTGTTTCTGGCACTGATTAACTAATTCCTTGAATCTCTTGTTTTCATAAATGCCATGTCTACATGAAGAGGTGGTTTTGAGGTGCTTAGAGCAGGAAGGCTTACTGAGTGTTGTGATGGACTTCAAGCTCATTTCTCAAGTTATGCTTCAAGCAAGGTGTTGGAAGCGGCAAAAAATTTCCCTCCCTACAAAGTACAATTGGAAGAAGTGCCTTGTATAAGCTCTTGGCCTCCGCAATTTCATGGAAACCATGCTAAAGAAAAAAATATTGCTCTTTTTTTCTTTGCTAAAGATATTGAGAGGTATGTTTTAAAGTTTTAGTTTATTTCTGTTAAATCTATTCTTGATTTTTTGCATTAAGAAAATTTACTAATATCTAAATTTCCTTTTTCATTTTACAGTTATAGAAGTAGTTACTGCAAGCTTTTGGATAAGATGCTCAAGTTTGACCTAGCACTCAAAGGGTACTTTGGTGGTTTTGAGCTTCTTATTTTTCCATCAAATAAGTTATCTGAAAACTCCCAGCGTGAGTTGCAATCTTAATTTTGTTAGTCCTAAGCTGTCCATACACTCTTAATATCTCTTTCGCCTGAATTGAGGGTTCTTTTACCCACTATACAGGTTGGAACAGATTACTCTTCTTATGGGGTACATTTAAGGGAGGGAGGTCAAGCAGTCTTGAAGTACTGTCAAATGGCAAGCAAGGTTCTAGCAAATCGACTATCCATGTTATATTGCCCCCCACCTTACCTGAAGCCTCCAAATACCAAGAAACATATGCCTCTAAGATTTCTTCTGAGGCAGATAACTATGCTGCTCCAGTAGAGGCCTCACCTGCTTTATCTACAGGAATTGAAAATAGGATTTCTAATGAAAGCAAATATGTGTATCATACATCTGTCGATGCAGAGCTACTGCCAGAAGATCCATGCCCCCTCTCCAGTGGTCTGATTTCCAGCAGTCACAAGTCAGATTCCTAGTTTGCAGCATGGTAGTCCTGAATTAACTAAACAGCAAATGACCGTGGAAGGTAGCTTCCTATGTGTATTTGTTCGTCTGCTAGTGCTTTCTCAAGTATTTCATATTTCATGCGTGTGAAGGTCACAATTTTTGGTTTCTGAATTGCTCCTGACTAGATCCAAATACTATTGAAGATAACATTGTCTTATAGTTAACTAAGCTTTCCGTTTCCTAATCACAAGAAAATTTCTGCTTTGACATTTCATGATTGAAATAAGAAATCCGAAGTTAATTGTTTTGCTTATTCCACCCCTGTGAAAGTAGTTATGTGCATTTTGGTTAATGAGATGATTTATGTGTATGTAGTTTTTTTATATTTCAGCAGGGAACACCTTATCTGGAAATGCCTCACAGTAGTCATTTTAACCTCCATTTTTCATTATTACTACATTATGCAACTTACCTCTCACTGTTTTACATCCTCTCTGGTGTTCAATTTGTAGGTTGCAGTTGATATATATATATATATATATATTTATATATATTTCTAAATTTTACGCCTCCAGTTAGGAAGGACGTGCTTTTTAAGTGTAATATGTTATCTGCGTGCTTGGTTATTATTAAATGCCTGTTGGAAACAATTTCTGCCATTTATTCATGTGCAAGATAAACAAATTTCTTGTATTCTTTAGATAGACGCGGAAGAATTCAGAATCTTGATGTATTTTCAAATCTTTTCTCAGCATAAGTGAGATCTTGTTAGCGACTTCCACCACTTGGAATCAAATAAGCTGCTTGTTATTCATGATGAAATCTTAACACAAAGCAGTTTTATCTGTTGTATTACATTTCTGTTGGATGTTTTAATGGGATGGATTATTATTGCACCTAAACCATCATCCATCAATTTGATGCCTACTGATTGGGAGCTATCCGTTATTAATGGACAATTGTATTTGCTTTCTGGAGTACCATCTTTTCATCATCTGGGTTTCGGTTTGGGTTTATGAATCCACATCATCTAAGGTTTTGGTTGGTGCCATCTTTTATGCGCTTCAATTTCATTTGGAAATATTTTGTTCTAAAACTGAAGTCGCCACTAGTTTCATAGAGATGAACAAACTTCCCTTCAAATGTAATATGGTAATTTCTACTCTGCTTTTTTAGACAATGAGGAATTAATAACTTTCTACGAGAAGTAACTCTATTACAGCAGGCAACATTCTTTTCCATTTTCCTGGATTCATTACGCACCTTGCATTTGTTAATACATTTCTTCTATTTATGTGTGTTGTTGTGCTGGCTGATTGACCATGCTGAATTCATGAAGTTGATTGCCTCTGAGAATTCTCATCAATTTTTGCATACAAGTACTGTAAAAATGTCAAAGGGCTTACAACCGGGATATGAGGCTCCAGCCCATGCTAGGTTTTTATTTATTTTTAACAAAATTTGATCTATCAGCTCCATGTTATGATATAGACAACCTAATAGTGATTTCTCTATGCTGCGCTGCTCTATTACTGTACCAACTTTTTTTGTAGCTGTTTTGAAGTAATTATCTTTAAAATTTTGCTGATTTATAAAGGTTCTATGCAGAAAAAAAATGTTACATACGGACTACGGACGCATCCAGAGTCTAATGGTGGGGCTTCATGTGTCAAGGGGACCCCACCGCTTTTAACGCTGGTCAATGCTAGTGTATCGCGGTGGGGCCCACCTAACACGTGGCGCCCCCATCATTGGACTCCGGACACAAATTAACTCCGGAGTTTGGATGTAATATTTTCTCTCTATGCAGATAGTGTAACGAGGCATTTGCTAAAACTTTTGAGCAAATAGCATCTTACTTTGTATTATTTGTTTGTAATTGTAATCAGATATGAAGATTTACGTTATGAGGCTAATATCTCATCTATTTTGAATGTGTGCAGTATAGTTTTGCTGCAGGTTCCAGCTGTGGAGTAGACTGATTCAGTAGCGATTCAGTAGCGAACGAGGAACAGTAAAAATGTATAGGTCAGGTAACATCAAGATAATATCTCTGCATGTGCAGTTTTTTCAGATCAGGGACAAGTTGTCTATTGTGATATTTGATATAGTTCTTTTTTTTAATTACTCGCGGCTGTTTGTTAGGTTTGATTAGCTGGTGCTATTAGCAGTTTTGATGATGATGATGAGCAAAGGTAACATAAAACAAGTTAAGCTCCTGTTAAATATTTTTTTCCTTGGAATTGATAATGAAATTTTGAAAGAAGATAAAAATATGCTGAAATGAAGTTGGTTTAGCTGCAGACAACAAACAATCTGAGAAATGTATCAATGAAATTATCAACTCTGGAAACTTGATAATACGTGCGAGGTACATTGGTATCATAGGAGTTAGATAACAAAGATAACTGAACAAAGTTAACACAGTGCGGCGCTGCCCATAATTTGGAACGGGTAGAGAGTATATAACTAATTTGTTTATAAAATATGTGATTTTTTACAAATGAATTCTCAATGCTTTTGTATCATGTCTATTCTTATTAGTAGTCTTTTTTTCCCCTTAATTTTATGTATTGTTTAGCTGGTAAATTTAAATTAAGTTTACAATTTTTCAATCTCTCTCTGCCCTTTTTTGATGTTATTTGTATTGGATGACAACCTTTATACTTTTTTCTTTTTCTGTAATATGTAATACAAGTTATAATTCTTTTCCTAGTTTCTTGTGCACCACGTTGAATCATAAAGATACTTGATGGTCTTATGATAAGGATACTTGATAAGGAGTTCGACCCCCGCGGCCGGCCTGCAGGCTGCGTTTCAGGATAAACAGCTTATCCTGAAATGCATAAGCTGCCCCAAATGGACCCTTTCAACTCATCGTTGACGTAACAAACGATTGGTTTATACTACAAAAAAAAAATTTAGTTTCGTAGAAATTGTGTTTTTGTTGGCTAAAGGATGGTCGAATAGGTTACTAAAAAAAGTTATTTAAATAGATTTTTAGAAGCTATGAAATTGTAGAATGTCCTTTGAAAAGATGGTAAGGTACTGTGTCTTATTTAAAAGAAATATAATGTTAAAGTAATACTTTATATTCGAAATATATTATTTTTTGATATTATTATTTTTATTTGAAATATTTTATTAATTTGTTTTAATGTAAAATAATTGTAGGACTATATTTTTTGTTTGATTTGAAGAGAAGTGATTTTAATGTAAAAAATAAATGTTAAGCTTAATGGCAGCAAGCTGTGTGCAGAGGGAGGGGCTGTAAAAAACACAATGGGAGGTGGCGGCGAGTGGGGGTAATAGCAGTGAAGAGTGGGGGTGAGCGGTGGGTATGACAACGGTAGTGGTTGTGGTGACGAGCAAAAAGCGTGTCGTTGCGACGATGAGCAAGCTACAGGCATTGACAAATGATGACATTAATTTACGTAGATCAGTGTTGATCATAAAAGCTAGTAAACGCCAAAAACAAACACAAATCTCATTAAAAAATATGCAAGATTAATTCATTTAAGGGATGAAGTACGAAGAAAAACAAGCAAAATGAAGAGGGATAAGCGAATCATAATTTAACTTAACATTTCAACCTGTCTTACGCAACTGAAATTCAAATGTAATTGATTGGGTATGCATAAGTTAAGTAGGTAGAGAGCATATATTGATTGGAGCTGAAAGAGGGTAGTACTATGTGTTGGCGTTAAACTTTATAATTTTCAAAGTGTTCAGATATGTATTATTCTTTGATATTAACCTTGCAATTTTATAGATTATGGAGGAAGAGGTGATGCATTGCTTTGTCAAGTGAGATGTGAGGTAGAACGCTTCTCCATATTGAGGATATTCTTCTCATAAGTGAGTTTTTTATATGTATTTTCTGAGGATTTGGCAAATTTATGCTATTAAGATATATCTATATATATATATATATATTAGGAGGGGATAATTTACTTTGTGAAGAAGTGAAGTTTTATATCAAAATAAATCTTGATATGTCTTCTATTAAGAAAAAACACCTTATAGAATAGCATCAAAGGATTTATAGTAGTTGAAGGTCCAATTATAGGAAAAAAAATGATGTCACAATTCTTATATTCAATTACTATATATAATTGAATATTGTGATCAACAAGAGTGTTTTTTTCTTCATACAAATATATCAGGAAATTTGATAGCACTTATACTTCTTTGGGCGGAGTTGGATGACCCAATCGTATCAAGACCCGATCAGATGGCCAACATCAACAATAATTTTGGTTCATTTCTATCACACCTACTCTGATCAGTTATGCATGTAACAATGTTGTTTCCTTCATGGCTGATGAATCAAAGCTTCGTATGTCTAATTAGTCAATTTGAAAGTTTGCTCGATAAATTTATTTACAAACTCATTTAGATTTATTAAAAATTGTGCCTATTATTTTTGAAGAATGTCAAAAAAATTAGTCTTCATTATATGAGGAATATTGTGACATGAATGAACAGGAGCACATCAGTTGCATCTAAAAATGTTGGTGAATTTGTTCAAGCTCTAAATTGATTTGGAACCTTCAGGACCCAATCTACATTTTCTTTGTTCCGAAGCATGCATGGACATCAGGATTTTTTTTATATTTAAAATTGCATCCAGATTCATATTTTCATTAGAAAAATAATCCATGATCTGAAAGTTAAGAAAAAGTGGAAAGCCAACTTTCAGAAATTTCTTTTAATTAGGCTTCCATGAATACATGCAGAACACCATAAAGGAACATGAATACATTAAAAAATATGAGGAATATTGTGACATGAATGGACAGGAGCACACCCATTCGTTAGGCTTTCATGAATACAGGCAGAACACCATAAAGGAACATGAATACATTAAAAATTGTAGCAACAGGTTCTGCTCTAAATGGAGCCAAGCATGCGCCTATAATTATGAGCCTCATGAAATAACATTATGTTCACTGTTCAATCCAAATTCGTCCTATCGTGTTTGCCCAAGGCATAGAGCGGTAGGAAACAGAGAGGAAGAGAGGGAGAGATTGGGTGAGATAAGACGCGAGAGTGACACAGCGTTTGCTCCCAGCGGGACAAAATAAAAGTGTTTCCACGACTCTCAGTACCATTTTATATATTAAAAATATTGTTTAGATGAGAAGGGGGGAGCCAAAACTGTCGGGTCCCATTTTTACATAAAAAGTCCCCTATTTATAGACTATAGGAGGACAAATATAAAAGTACAAACTGACCCTTGGAGTTATTGTCGTTGGCACCTCTTCACTTCTATCTGGGTCTGTTCAACGAGGAAGTCGGTCGACGGCCGAGGTGACCCCTTGACGTTGGTCACTCGACGGGCTGAGGTGGTCACTTGATGGACCTAGGTGGTCGCTCGACGGTGATCGCTCGGCGACCAAAGTGGCTGGTGAACAGACAGAGTGGTTGTTCGACGGATCTAGGTGGTTGCTTGACTGTGGTAGCTCGGTCGATGGTCAATCGGTCTGTGTTACTGTCAGATATCCTCTAAATTTGTGTGGAAACCTTTTGGTTATGCACAAATGCCTCCAAGTCTTTTACTTTTTGGAAGTAAAGTTGAGATAAAAATGAGAAACTTTAAATATGTCAAAAATAAAATCATAATAATGCGTCAATTATACTCCCTTGATTTCGGCTACGGTTAAACCTTATTTTTTCCGGTCTCGAAGTGCTCTTATGAAGCCTTTTCGAGCCGATTATTAATTTTTCACTTAGTCAACACTCATAAGTAAATGTTAGTAATTTAATCAAGAAATAAATAAAGCTCTGGATCAATTTTTACATTTGTTTATTTTGTATCTTACCCTAATCGTGTCATTTAACGGCGACAATTGGATGTTTTGGGTTTGATGCCGACTCAAGCCTTTGAAAAGGCCATCGGTTGTTATTGATGTATTGTAGTTCGCTGATCATTTGACTCAAATCTTACGAAGCATGTGTCTCATTTGTTCGGTCGGTTCATCGCCTCAATCGGGCCTCATCTTAGGCCAAGGCTTAAGTGAATATTGTTGTTGCTTTGGCGCTTGCTGCTGGGGTGATTTGTTAGTACCCTTCGTGGAGCTCGTCAGCTGGAGGATTCGGCCGAATTTTGGTGATCGAAGGGGGAGCGAACGAGTGATTTTTCGGCAATCGACAGATTGCCACCCTCCTTAATAGAAACATCACCTTGCCTCCCTCTCCGCCCCACCATTGTAGCCTCCGGCAACCTCATCCCTCTCTCCCACATTGTCGGAATCCTCCCAAGTTGTCCAAACTCCAAAGCTTCCACTCCCAACAGCTCCACCGTCGATGCCATCACTGCTTTTCATCTCGCCAGCATCTCCACTGGTTTCTTTATACTTCAGCCAAAAGAAGGCCTTGCACCCGTTAACCGCCATCGGCTCCGGTCTCGCCTCCATCGTCCTCTTCAAAACCAACATCCTCACTATCATGCAAGAGATTCTCTCCGCTCTGTTCTGCACGGTGGTGCAGGGAAAAACAGAGTACACCAACCACCTCACCCACAAGCTCAAGCACCATCCAGACCAATTTGAAGTCGCCGCCATCATGGAAAGCATTCAAAGGCGGCTCTAACATGAAAACGGCTACAAAGCTCCATGTAATGGATCCTCTTCAGAAACCAAAGCAAGACAAATATGCTCTTCGCACTTCAATGCAG